CCTGCCTGAGCAGGGGGTTGGACTAGAAGACCTCCAAGGTCCCTTCCAGCCCTGTGATTCTGTTCTGTTATTCTGTGCCCTCTTGTAAGAGGGATTGCAGGGATCACTCGTTGCCTCAGGATGAGCTGGAGAGGGTCCGGAGCCTTTGACCCCCTCCCCCCTCCCTCCCTGGCACTGGGCTGAGACTCAGATGGTGAGGGGTTATTTGTGCAGTTGCTGATTAGCAGTTCTGATGGCAAGATATGGCCAGCCTGCTCCGGCTAACAGGATGTCTTCTCTTCCCTTTTTTAATCTGCTGTTGAAGAAAAGAAACACAGCAGCAGCATTGCTCACTGGAACTGGAGTCTGAGTTCTTGTAAACGGCCTCAGTCATAACAAGATTACTAACATCAGAGGTTTCAACAAGCAAAGGAAACTTAACTTCTTGTGCAGACTTCAGAAGAGATGTGAAACAGCAGCTGAGACCTCCCTTAAGGCAGAGGTGGGGCAACTGCTGGTTGTAAATTCACCCTTTGCTCCTCCCATTTCCTTTTCTGCTGCTGGGCCTGCAAGACAGACAGCTTTACCTGTTGAATCCCCCCACACAAGGAGTCTCGCTTAAACGCACAGCCCTGGACAGACGCACAGAAACCTCAGCGGACTCAGAGAAGCACTTCCTAGGAACGCTTGGCAGCCTCTCAGAGGGTTTCTTAGGTGAAGACTTGGATCCTGGCCTCACTCTAATTTTAAATGGGACCCAGAGAGTACTAAACCTGCCTCGCTGGATTAGGTGGGGAAAAGATAAATCTGGGAAGGCCCCGACATTTTCCCAGTACCTGTTGATCTGAAATGCATGTGGCATTTCCAACATGATGCAGTTTAGCTATGGTGGGCACACGTGCACACACACACATACATACATATGCACACATGGGCACACAGCTGCAGCACACACATCCCTGGGGATGCTTAGCAGCCATGGAGCACCAGGCTTCTCCTCCGAGGTCCTGCTCCTCTTCATCGGCTTCTAAAACCTCTTTATGTTTAACTGCCATGGCTGCGTATCTTGGGCTGCAAACCAAGGTAAGCTGTCATTGTGGGAAGCACACTCCTTGACAATTGTGCTCAGATGCTGTACTTGGAGGAAGATAGCACAGCTATGCTGGGCGTTTGCCAGGAAGGAAGTGGCTTCTTTTAATCCCCAAGATCAGGATATGTTTGAGCCTCTCTTGTTATTGTCTACCAAGTAAGCTGAGAAGAAGCAGCTGCTCCAGCTGTGAACTGTAACACGAGGAGGGGGCCTCTCCCAGGTGTTGCCAACACAGGCCTCGCCTTAGCAAGAGGGCAGGCGTTGGCAGAGAAGTCTCAGTTTTGCTGAGGGGCACAATCACAATCGGAGGTGTGTCGGAGATGTGCCACCTGTGGGTGGCAATGCAGTCTCCCCAGGACTGCCTCCAAGGCCTGGTCCTGGGGTTGGCAGACAGGCAGGGAGGAGGGTGGGGGTGCCCAAAGAGCCAAAAGTAGCACAGCATCATGTTTTGTGTTGTTCTTGCTGCTTTTCTACCCTCCCCCCCGCGCGAAAGACCAAAGCAATTTATAAACATCCGAAGGACCCGAGACCCTCTGGAGAATGCGACTCAGACCCTGCCCCACGCTTCCTTCCAGGAGGGCAGCTGCCATGGCAAGAAAACACCGTTTGGCCCTTGGAAAACTCTTGCTCCTCTTGGGAACGGGAAAACTGCACCATCTTGTTATTTGTGGGTGAAGGAGCAGAGAGTGTTTTGGCAGGCACTAAAAAGGAAAAACCTCCCTGGTTCCTTTCTTCCCAGCATTCCCTTGGGTTGGAAAGAATCAAAATCCCAGTTAAATCAAGATTGATTTCAGGTCGATTGATGCTAGTTCTAACTGATGAAGCAATTCAAACCCTGCTCTTAGAGTAGAGCAAGATGGAAAAACTGTGTCAGACCAATAAAATCCCTTTGCGAAGCCCCACCTGGGCTCCGTATAAGCTGGGTCCCTTTCCTGTCCAGGCGTTGCTCAAATAAGGAAGCAGCCCAGCCTGGCCCTGCCCAGAACGAGGCCACGGAGCCTCCGGAACTAAATCTCTGGGAAGCCAGGAAGAACCAGGAGGCATTTGCTGCCTGGGTTCCAGAGCGAGAAAGGTCAGCGAAATGTTTACACGGCATCAAGGCTATGACACCCTCGGGGCTTTCAGAAACCTCTGGGTGCCTCCCCCCCCCCGCACCCTCCACCTTGTTGAGTGGCAGATTTGGAAAAGGAGAATCCTCAAGCATGGCTGGCTGAAAGTAGCCATACTTGCTGTCCCCTGGCTATGCCGTGGGAGAAGGTAGGGCCTGCTCCCACACAAAAAAGGGGTGTTGCAGCCTCCGTAGGGTGGGGCACAAAGAGGGGAAGGGTGGGGAGAGACTTCCCCCTCGGAAGCATCTCTCCATGGGCTCAGCAACCCAGCAGGGTGCTTGGGCGGCCTTTGCGAGAAGAGCCAGCTAAGGAAGGGAAGCGCAGAGTCTGTGGTGAGTCCTGGATGACAGTTTGGCTTTCCTGCGCCTTTGCTTTCGATTTCTGCAAGGCCGGCCACGTCCCTTCCTTCTCCTTTTCTTCCTTCCTTCCTTCCTTCCTTCCTTCCTTCCTTCCTTCCTTCTTCTGTCACCTCTCGTCAACCCTGGAAGGGCTGGGTGGCTACAGACCGGCTTGGCCAGGATCTTCTGCTGGTGTCCCCGGCTGAGCCAAGATCCAGACCTGCTAAACTGAGAGGAATCTAAGCGGGGAGAGGAGGATCCAGCCCAGCAAGGATGGACCAATGACTCTGTTAGAACAATCCTCTGCCTGAAGCAGGTTTGGAGAAAGCCAGCACCACACCTGAAAGACAGACAAAGCCTTGCATTCTCAGATAAACTGGTGCCCAGTTCTGCATCATGCACCAAACCACAGCTGGGGTTTCTGTCTCTTTATTCACCCCCACCCCTCTTTTTTAAAAAAACATTGTTTGGGGTTGAATCCCCTCTGTTGCTTGACGGAGAGGGAACCAAGGGCGGCCTTGGTTGTGCACTGAAGAAACCCCTGTTGATTCGGTTGAAACTGACCTCTTGTTCCTGAGAAATTAAGGAGAACAGAATGGGAAAGAAAGAAAGAAAGAAAGAGAGACAGAGAAAAAGAAAGAAAGAAAGAGAGAAAGAGAGAAAGAGAGAAAGAGAGAAAGAAAGAAAGAAAGAAAGAAAGAAAGAAAGAAAGAAAGAAAGAAAGAAAGAAAGAAAGGTGAGAGTTAAGGAAATGCATGGGGTTCCTTGGAAATGGCATGCATTACTTAGAATATGGGGAAATTACAGATGCTCCCATTTTTTCACAGTTCCATATAACAATTACATCCTTATAGCTGTTCTATTATTAGACTTTACTCAACATTTCCGTGGAGCCAACTGGATTTTTCTGGGGAAAAAGTTCTTAGATGTTTGCTCTGCTGTCAAGCAGTTTTGCTAGTTAAACATATTCATGCCTTTTGTTGTGCACAATTATTCCCTCCCCCCTTAAATTACTTGGAAATAATAGCAAGGAAGGAAGTGAAGCTGAACGCGCTGGGCAGCCTCCAAGATATAGCGGAGCATTGAAACCAGTTAGGAGTTGGAGGTGAGCAGAAAGATCTTATCTAGGGAAGGGAAACCGTCTTCTCCACTGCTGCGTTGGGTCCTGATCCTGTTCCCAGTTCTGGATCCTGCTCTCCCACGTCTGCCTGCCCTTCTCCAAGTCTTGAGGCCTTCGATGACCACGTTGCCCTCAGAGCTGCAATGGGACAGGAGAACCTATTTGCCCTTAAGCAGCCTTATACAGGGCTTATTTTACTTCACTTTAATTTATGGCATTTATTTTTAATTCTCTCCAACTGAAAGAAAATTTGGAAAAAATATATATAAAGGAACTCAGGACCACCCATCTGTAAATAGAATGGGTCTGCAGAACCAGAACAGGAGGACGAGGCCAGGTTTGGTAAAGCCACCAAAATAAAACCCATGCTGGATCCAGCTGGGGGGAGTGGGGGAGGGGTGGAGAGGAGAAAATCCCTCCCCCCATGGATGTTGAAGGGGGGCATCAGATCTGGGCTCTGAAGGCTGCCAATTCCTCCAGCCTAAGCCCCACCCTCCAGGTCATGTGACAGAGCAGCTGGCCTGGGCTTCCCAGTGGACCCCAAGATCCAAGGAGGGGAACTTGGAAACAGACACACGTCTGTGGGCTGATGCCCACAAAGGTGGTTAAAGGGGGCCTTTTTCTTTCTGCTTTGGCTGAGACCCAGACACACCAACTCTCTCTCTCACACACACACTCACACACACACAGAGGGGCTGATTTTCTACCCTTCAGGGAAAGGAGCAGAGAGAAAAGCCAGCTCTGCTGGCATCACTGGATGGGGCAGCCCCCTTCTGGGCAGCCGAGGGAGAAAACTGTGGGTCTCTCCTGCGCAAAACCTGGAGCCCGGCTCTCCCCAGGCTGCTGTAGCCCCTCCGTGCTCCCCCTCCTGCCGAGCAAGGCAGGATCCCTGCCAGGCCCTCAAGCCGACTTCCCAGCCCTTGGAGCCCAGGGAGAAGGCGGCTCTTTCCCCCTTTCCACAACTACACTGCCCCCGTGCGCACACACACTCCCCTGAGCCGGGAGGTGGGTTGGCCCTGCCCCTTCAGAACTCGCTTTTGTGATCCCAAAGGGGGGACAGGTCTCAGGAGAGGTGTCTGGGAAGTACCCAGAAGCCCCTGGGCAACGCAGGGTCCACTGTCCATCCCGACCATGGGGGCTTCCCTGCAGGAGGGCCCAAGTGAACCTTCACGGGGGGGGGGGCTTGGCTGGGTTCTGGAGGGACGGGGATTCCTGGCAGAGATCCCTTTGAGGCAGAGAGGGATCCAGTGTGAAGCCCAGGCGAGGACTTGGTGGGGGATCCATCCACCCTTTCTCCTTTTCCTCACCAACCATCTCCGAATCCCAGTACATAAAGACCAGAGAAAGCGTTGTCTTTTTTTTCTTAGAAAAAGAACCTTTATAATAAGGTTTATTATTAGCTTTTAGAAAAAATAGATATAAAGTAACAAAAGTGTTTCTGCATAGCAGAAAATGACTGACAAGGCTTCTGAGGGCCTCAGTTTGTGCAAACAGTCCATTGGTTGTGTAAACATCGGTAGTCAAGTGTTCAAATTCAATAGAACTGCTACAGAATTGAGATGCGCTCATGACGGTGCTTAGGCTTGTACAACAATCCAGCCACGGGTCTGCTTCGCGTCTTCACCCAGCGACGCAACGCCCAGTGCCCCAGGCAGCCTCTGCGCCACCTGCGGTTCGCCACTGCGGGGACTCCGTTTCCCCCACCACTCCCAGGGCACAATTGGCTCCCTGGATTGCACACCACCAAGGCACCACTTCCAGCACCTCAGGCGCATCCACTGGCGTAATGCTCCCTCCGCTCACAATTTAAAGGGGAAGGACTCCAGGTATGTCTTCAGGACCGGATTGAGTGGGATGTGTGGCAAATTCTCCCTCCCAAAAGTCGCCACAATGTTTTTGCGGCAGAGGTCCTGCAGCGACCGCAGGCGCTCTTTGTGTAGTGGGGCGACCAGGACCTTCCGGGGCGAGTTGACGTAATGTTCCAGCAGTTTGAAGAGGCAATCAAAGGCCTCTTTGCTGCCCTCCAGGCTGAAGTGACCGGACTGGAAGAGGACACGGACGCTGGTGGGCCCGGAGGCCGTCTTAACGCTAACGGTGAAGAAGCAATTTTTTTGCCGGCTGTCGCGGAGGAGGAAGGTCCCCACCAGCTCGCCCTTCAGTTTCTCGTGAGCAGCGCTGACCGACAGGGGACCCCAGTAGAAGCCACACTTCTCCAGCAAGGCGCTAGTGCGGACGATGATCCCAAAGTCCTCCTGGGAGCGGAAGGTGTGGAAGTGGGTGTCCCGCGGGGCTTGCACCGTGCCGTGGGGGGGCCGGACCTGCAGAGCGGCCCGGACGGAGGGCTGAAGCCGGCCTCTCAGCTCCACTGCAATCCCATTCTCAGGCGTTACGCTGCTGTGTGCTACCATCCTACAACCGAGACCCACTGGAGCTGCCTCCCATCGCTTGGGGGGCCAAGGGGGGGCTGCTGTGTTGAGGTTCTCCTGCAAATCAGAGAAACAAGAAAAGGTCGGTTAGGATCCACCCACGGCAGGTCAAAGGAAACAAAGAGAAACATCCATCGTGGTGCCAGAACCGAACCTCTGCCAGGCAAACCCAACGCAGGGCTGCTTCTGCCGGAAAGTGAGGAGCCCCAGACAAAGGCGTGGTTTCCCCCTCCCGGCCACAGAGGCCCATTGACAGGAACCGCCAGCTCAGCTGCACGCCTTTCCCTTCAGATGGTCCAACCAACTCTGCTGCTTCTCTCCAGGAACCGAGGCAGAGCGAAAGACCAACCTTCACAGGAAGGTATTTTCGGCCTCCCCTCCCTCACCACACTGAGATGTGCAGCTACACTCCTCCCCCCTCCCGTTCTGGTTTTAGTTTGAATGGTTACGAGAAGGAGGGAAGGCTCATCAGCTAGAATCTCAGCTCTCTGAGTGATGCCTGGAACAGAAGAGGTGTTCCTGGCACAGTGACAGCCCCCCCCCCCACAAAGTCTGTGCAGAACTGTCCAGGCAGATTGTGCCCGATCTCTTCTCTCCCTCTCTCTGGAAGCTCAGTGGGTGGGAAAGTCCACCCTAAAAGAGTACAAGAATTTGTTAACACTCAGGCCTAAATCCCCCAATGCTCTCCTTTCCTGAGAATCAAACCTTCTTTGTGGCTTGTCTGCTTGCCAAATGCCTGAGTAATCTGAGATCTCCAGCAGCCCCTTCCCCTTCCCTTGCTCTGCAGCCCCTCCCCCAGGGATCTTCAAGCAGATCAGCCTCCATTTAGAGGCGAACCCTTAAAATGTTGCTCAGTTGCTCTTTCTTCATCAAGCTGGTGGCCCTTCAAAGGGGGTGATCCAGATGGGGGCAGGAGGGGGTTGTCCGAAGGGGGCCACTGAGAATGCAGTGCTCTTAAGGGAGGGCCAGTCATTCTGGTAAGCGAGATGGGCAGCGTATAAATTTAATAAATAAAATAAGGAGTTGCCCCCACAGCTCCTTCAGCGACTTTCCTGAGAAGTGTGGAACTGAGAGAGGCGGAGGAGGAGGGGAGAGTTGCCACCTCCTGGGCTGAGGGATGCTGGACTTCTGCCTCGAGCCTCTGGCTTCCTGCGTTTGGGTCTCTGCCAAGCGCAGGAGAGCCGGAAAAGCCCCTAAAGGTTAGGCGGGAACAGCAACCCACCCCAGCCCCATCGGCGTGCCGACCAGAGCCGGCAGGCTGTATAAAGGGAGTCGCGTTTTATGGGAGCAACGTCAAGATCGGGACCAACTGGAGGAGTTCTCTTCCTTCAACCAACCAAGGAGACCGGGGGGGGGAGCCCTGAAGCGCCCGCCCCAGGTGGACGCTCCGGGGGCCCCGCGCTCGCTCCGGGCAAGGCCGGCACGGGGCCCGCAAGACCCCGCAGCGGCTGGGCCGGAGGGAAGCCCCGCGCAGGCCAGCCCTTGGGGGGACGCTGGGCGACGAAGCGCCCCGCACGTGGGGGGGAGGGCGGCGAAAGGAGGCGCGGGGGGGCAGGCAGGCAGGGGGAGGCCGAGGGAGACAAAGCCGCGGGCGTCGGGAGCGCCGTGTTCTCGCCTGTAGAGCGCGGAAAGGGGCCCCTGCCCGGGAGAGGGGCGCGCCAGGACGAGGCGGAGGGCGGGCAAAGCCGCCGCCCCTGCCAGTTGCTCCACCGCGCTGGGGGCGTCCGCCCTTCCCCGGAGCGAAGAGGCCGGGCTGCTCGGCGCCCGATCCCGCCGCAGTCCGCGGGGCGTCCCGGAGAGGCCCCGCGAGCCCCAGGAGGCTCTTACCTCGGCCGCCTCGGCGTCTCTGTCCGGCCTTCCCCGCCCGGAGCTGCGAGGCCGGAGCGGGGACGCGGCGGGGCTGCTCAAGGCCGGGCCTCGGCCGCCGCCGCCGCCTTCTCTTCGCCGCCGCCGNTGCTGCTGCCCTCGGCGCGGCGCCCAACGCCCGTCTGCGGGCCCGGCCCTGGCGGGGGCTTTTCATAGCCTGGCAGGCCCCGCCCCCCGCCACTTTCGCTTTCCCTCTTCGGCGCGGAGGGAGGGGGGGGGAGGGCGCGTCGGGCCGCCTAGGCAGCTCTCGAGCTGCGGCAGCTCCAGGAAAGCGGGCATTTCCCGGGAAAAGAAAGGGAAAGCAGGACTCCTCGCGGGACCCCCCCCCCGCCTCCCTCCTCTGCCTGCACAGCCGCCCCTGAAGAAAAGGCCGCCGTTGCAGCTGAGACGGAACAGGGACCCCCAACACCCCGTCCCGGAGCCCCCAGTCTTTGCGCCCGGAGGAGGCCGTGGAAGGGCCGACAGGACTCTGGACCTCTTCGCAGCTGGACCAGAACAGCGACCCCCCCCCCCCCCCCCCCCCCGGGGCCCCTCCTGCGCTGGGATCTGGCCACAGACGCCAACCCGGGCGGACTGGCGCGACCTGTTCGTCGTGGTCTTCCCTCACCCCCCCCCTCCCGGAGCAGGCGAGGCAGAGGGGGCTCGGTGGGCCCGAAGTGGCCCGAAGCGTCCACCGCCTCCCCCTCCCTCTTTGCGGCGGCGGCGGCGGCGGCGCCCTTTCCAGATAAGCGCTCTGTTGATTCTGAGCAAAGCTCGTTTCTCCTCTCCCGGCCCGCTTCTCAGAAAACACGTGCCCGGCCATCAGCTGCCTCTCTGGGCGACTTTTCCTTTCCTTTTCTACCTCCCCCCCCCCCCGGGACGCGACAGGAGTCACCGCTGACTTGGCAGCCGGAGCGGGACAAGATGTCCTGGGGTCGGAGGTCGGGAGGGGAGGGGAGGCAATTCGGGGCGGCATTGGCTGCCGCTGGACCAGGTGAAGGAGCCACAGTTCCAAAGAACCCAGGTGGTTCTTGGCCACAAGTGCGTGTTTTTCACGGGAACCCAAAAGTGAGACATTGCATCAGGGACTCCAGCCTGGAAAAGCCACTTCCTGTTAACACCGAATTCTTTACAGAAAGCTGGGCGGTTCCAGTGCTTTTACAAACCACCCACCGTCGCTTCTGGGGAGATCACAAATTTGATTAATAAATCAATACAAATTTATTGGAGAATAAGGCCACCCAATGCACGCCAATTGAAGGCTGTCCTGCAGAGAGCTTGTTCGGAGGGCCAGCAGCTGATGGGCAGCCCCCTTCCCTCCCAGGGGTCTGGAGTAGGGGGCTTCCTCGCTGTCCTGCAGTTTCCAGCAGAGGGTGGCTTCTGCAGCAGCTGAAAGAGCAAAAGAGATTTTTTTCATAAAAACTGAGGTTGGGCTGGGTATTGAAATATTCTCCAAATAGTATTAACAGGGAATAGCCCTCCTGCCTCTCCTCACTTTCTCTGGGAGGGGGCCAGCAGAGCAATGAAATAGAGCAGGAGATTCTGGCAGGAGTGTCCCATAGTCCACTGCTGCTTTTAGTAAGGGGGGGGAATCGGGCCCAGGGAATCTGCCTCCCCCATGTGTCCACAACTGGGAACATAGCAGGTCTCCTGCTTCTCAGTAAATGCCCCCATTTCCTGCCTCTCTCTCTCTCTCCCTCCCTCTCCCTCCCTCCCCTGCCCCTCCCTCCCTCTTACAAGACTCTTTCCAGGAAAAACCCTTGCTTGCATTTCTCACTGTCCCAGATTCTAATAAGGTCTTTTTTTGGAAATCCCATTAGAAGCTGATCAGGTTGAGATAAATCATCGGAGAATGAAAGCCGGATGTTACTTTTGTTTTCCTGGAAAGAGGCTATAACTTTTGCTTCCTGACATCTACAGGACTTCCAGAGAACCACTGGATTGCTTGCCACTCTTAAGCCATGAATCTTGGCTTCCACAGCCCTCTGGCAAACTGGGCTGAGGCCTGCAGCTTTTACTACTCTTTTCACATGAGAGTCTTACAGGATCTCCAGATCTTGGGGTATGATTGGCAAGGATGCTCGGGCCAGCTTTAATATGGGTTTGGGGGCTGCTTGTGTCTTCCTGTGTTTGTTTGCACAAGCAAAGCGCTCTGTAAAAACAAATTTTCTGCCTACAGATCTGAGCCTCCAACTTTTAAAAAGCAACTATTTTTCAAAGGAGCCTCGGAAATTTATCTTCTCCTGAGAGGTCGCTGGCTTGAGTTCACCTTTTAGTTTAAATGGCTCTGAACAGGCAGGATTGCAACAGGTCATGTTCCCAGGCTGGGAAAATCAGCACCTGTTAAAGTCTGACTAGTGGACCAGCTCGGTCTCACTTACAGCGAGGCAAGGGCCCAGATGCTCTGGGCAGAGGTTTGCAACACAACCTGCCGTAGAGATTCTTTTTTTTTTAATTTTAAAAAAGGAACCTTCGCTTTTCTTGTGGGAGGCGCTTCAGCAGAAATCTAGACTTTCAGGGTGCTGCGCTTACCAGCATCAAAGTCAGTTCTGTTTCCTGAAGCCGGTTTCTGATCCTCCAGAAAGACTGAAACTGCGGTTTCTGTCTTCTTTTCTGAAAAGGTTGATTTCAGGGAAACCGAACCACGCAGAGATGAAAGTGACAAAGATGAGCTCCCTGGCAGAGGGGGCGCCTGCAAGTCCCAGAATTCCACGGAGCTCCCACTTCCTTGGTGGGGACGGCTCTGCGTTGAGGACCCGGGCAGGTTTTCCTCGGAAAAGAGGTGGTGGTGGTCTCCCTGAGGCAAATCTCTCTCACGGGAAGTGGTTCCTGGTCCCTCTTAGGTCACGGCCCAGCCAGGGGTGGAGGTGGTGGACCTTGCGGTCCGGCCAGGTGGAGAAAGATGGAAGAGGAGGGGGGAGGATCGCCTGGGGGCTCCTTCCAAGAAAAAGCTTGGAAACTCTCAAACCTGAGGAAACCCTGGACAGACCTGTGGTCCTCTGTCCACCACAAAGCCAAGAGGTGGCCAGGTCATGGTTGCCTTGGAGGGATAGACTGCTTCTGACCAGGGGGATCCTCTGGGCGAGCACAACTGAATGCCATGGATAAATCCAGCCGTTCAGTACTTACCGCAAAGGGGGTTTCTCCGCCCCCCCAGAGACTCAGAAGGGGGGGAGAAAAGTGTGGGGTCCAAATGGAGGAAAAAAGCAGAGCCCAGCAGTGGAAGCTTGCAAAGATGGGCGTCTTTTGCCAGGTGGCTCTTTTGGCCACCAACCTCCATGCAATTCATGCCCCACACAGTCACCACTTGTGTGGCCACATGTGGTTAGCAGAAAGCAGGTGTCCCCGGGGGGGGGCAGATCTACTTAGGGTTAGGTTGTCATGAATTTGGAGAGCAAAATGGACATCGCCAACAGATTCGGAACGTGTCAGTGTGCTTAGGAGGGTGTTGACTTTTTGGCCCTGCCCTATCTGCCTTCCCTGGTAAAAAAACATGGGAAAATCCCACTGGGGGGCAAACCCATCTAGGGTTAGGTTGCCATGAATTCAGAGAGCAAAATGGACATCCCCAATGGATTTGGAGTGCATCAGTATGCTTAGGAGATGTGGACTTTTTGAGCCCACATACATTGCTGAGGGTTTGCTGTAGAGAAGGAAATGGGAAAGCAGTTACGTTAATTTGCTTATTTGTGACTCTGCTTCTGAGGAAGAGCGGTTGTATATAGACAGGAGGCAGAAATTACCAAAGCAGCAGCGGTACAAAGATTACTCAGCTTCCAAAGAAATTCAGAGTATCAAAAGAGGCACTTTTGTAGGCTGCTGCCCCCTCCCGGCCGACACTTTCGCAACAGTCTTTCTCCCTTGGGAATCTAAGGCTGGTCGGTGGGGGCTTGGCGAGAAGGGCCGGAGCTGAGGCTGCACCGTAGATCAGCTCCTCTCTCATCTGCCTCTCCTTGTCCTCCAGCCAGCTCAGGGTCACCATTAATGACCTGTCTCCTCCTGTCTGTCAGCTGGTTCTGTTTCAAGGAATGCTCCTGCCTTGGAAGGCAGCCTTGTTCACCCTCCCTCCTTTCTTGGTGCATTTTCTGCTGAAGGAAGGAAGGAAGAAAAAGAAAGAAAGAAAGAAAAAGAAAGAAACAAAGAAAAAGAAAGAGAAAGAAAGAAAGAAAGAAAAAGAAAGAAAGAAAAAGAAAGAAAGAAAAAGAAAGAAAGAAGGAAAGAAAAGAAAAGAAAAGAAAAGAAAAAAAAACTTGCCACCCTGCCTTCATGGAAGTGGAGGGTCTGGTCCCAGAGATGCCAGGCTGCCTGGCTAAGTAGGGGGCAAGGAAAGACCCCTGAAAGCAGCCCTGTTGCTGTTGCTCGGCTCCTGCTAGTTTTTTGTGCACCAAGAAAGGAGTCTGGAGTCCCCCCCCCCCATCCTTTTCCTTTTGCCCATATTGGACCCACCCAGCTTGAGAGCTGTGGGACTAGCTAGCAGGTTAGGAGGAGGATGGTGAGGCAAAAGCCCCTTTCTGCACCTGAACTGAGCACCTCAGCAAAGGTGAGGCCAGAAGGGGTGAGCTCCGCAGGCCAAACTGCAAGCCCCCCAGCTGGGCCCGAGGGGGAGGGGCACTAAATCCACGCAGCCCTATTTGGAACCAAAAATCTTTCCAGGCCAAAGAAAGGAAGTGGGTGGCTGTGGGAGGAACATCTTGGTATGAATAAACCAGCCTTTCAATGTTTTAAGACAATTAGATTTCAAGAAGGAACGTGAACTCATCAGACCTTAATGGGATGAAACATGGGTTTAATCTTGACTGCAACGCCCACGCAAGGCTAAAATTAGACAACTGGCTTTTCTGCCTGTGTCCATGCAAGCTGGCAAATCCACCTCAGTTTTGCATGTGGGAATGTCTTCAATGACCTCCTTCTGTACTTTGGCTCAGAGACCCCTTGCCCAAAGAGGTCTTTGCCCACATCCCCCCCCCATCCCATGCCAAGGAGAGAACAATCGGGTCTCCCCTTCACACAGTGAGATTCTTCTGAACGGGGACAGCAGTTTGAGAGAGCCCAGGATCTCCCCCCCCCTCCCAGCTTTCCCGGCCTGTGTGTCCTTAAGGGCCCCTGAAGGGCAAATGGGGCAGGAAGGCTGGGGGTGAGATGCTGCATTCTGGCAAACAGGAAGAGCCTCAGTTTTAATTGCCAGGTTATTAGGATCCTGATTTACAAGGAAGAAGAGAACCGTGAATTAGGACACCACCTTAACTGAGAGCAGGAATTTTGGGGGGTTTCACAGAAGGGCTGAGTTAATCAGCCCGGCGAGCAAAGCGATGAAGAATTTGTCTGGGCATCCTCCGCCGGCATTGGGTACTACAAATCCTATCAATCTGGTCGAGCAGGGCCAAGGGTTGGGCGTGGGAACCACCTGACTGGCTGGGCTACTGAGCATCGGGGTCAGCGGCTGATGCGAGGGGGCCCGCGGGGCTGGGTGTGGTTCCCGGGTGGGGAGGGAGGCGCGGCGGTTGCCGGCTGCTTCCAACAACTCTCCCCCCCCCCGTCCGCCGCGCGCGCGCGCGCGCCTCCCCCATTGAGGAAAAAAGGGAAAGCCAGAAAAGATACAAAAGTTTCAACGTTCCATCGGCCCGCACCGATTGGAGGAGCGCGGCAGAGTCGCGTGACCGGCAGCCAATGGGAGGCCGCGCAGAGGCTGCCTGTGTTGTTTCGGACGGGACGAGAGTTGCCAGTTGAGCGGGGCGGCGGCGGCGGCGTCTCCTCCTGGCTGCGGGCAGGGTGAGTGGCGGCGGGCGAAGAAACGGGCGCGGGGGGGGGGAAGCTTCGGGGCCGGGAGGCGACAGGATCCCCGAGCGAGCCAGCCAGCCGCCCCTCGCCGTGCACGAGGAGGGTCTCCCGGCCGCCCTTCCCACTGCCCCGGGGGGAGGGGGGCTTGAGAGGCAGAGGGGGTCGCATTTCAGGGCTCCCCTTCGCCGCAGGGGAGCTCGCCTTGGCCCCTTAGCCGGATAGGTAAACTCCGTGCGTGGGGCCGGTCTCGTGTGCCTGAGAGCGAGGAGGGCTCTCCGAACCCAGCTTGCCCGGGGGGGCTCTTCTGCTATGGTCCTTCCGCCCCCCCCCCGAGCCCTTGCAGACGGGTGCAATCCACGGCCAGCCCCAGCGCAGCTTGGCGAGCCGGTGGGAAAGTAACCCGCGAAAGAGACCCGGGCCTGCCAGATGTCCTGGCTGCTGGCACCAGGCGGGGCGAGAGTAAGCAGCGTTTGGGGAAGTGACCTCACTCTCGTGGACCCTCCTCTGGGCGACCCCCCCCCCGTACTGCTTGGCAGCGCTTTGCAACTTAATGCCCACCGACCCGTGTGTAGCAGTTGGTCGAAGCTCTTCCGGTGACGGCACTGACCCCCTCCCCTGGGGCCGTTTGGGGAAGGAATGGCGGGGGGGGGCTGGTTCAGAGCAGTGCCAAGGATGGCTGTGAGGTTGTCTTGGGCTGACTTGGCTCCCTCCGCCCTCCAGTTCCTGACTGGCTCTTCTGGCTCCTGGTGCCTCTGTTTCTCCGGCCAGTTTCAGACCTGAAGGGCCACTCCTGCAGGGGCCTTTCCCCCTTGGCCAGAGACCCCTGGAGACCCCTTCAGGGCCACGCAGGCCTTCTGGCAGCGGACGTGTAGTAAACTATCTGCATGTAGGAGTAAAACATTTCCTTTTACCTCTGAATCATATTTTGGAGCAAAGTCTAAGGAGGTTCCAATGGCAACAGGCTTATCATTAAATTAATCCACATGCAGAATAAAAATAAATCCAGAGAAACTGTCAAATCTGTTTTAAAATCCATGCCGTGAAGATTTGATGGGAGCAAAAGCGCATTCCGCCAGCAGAGGATGCAGCCCCCCTCCGCCCCCTCGCTCAGAGTTGAGCGTGTCCTGAGGAAGAGGCAACCTGTGGGGCCCGAAAGATGGGGAGAGACCTTGACGTCCAGCCCTGTGCCGCAGAGGGAGAGGGGGGCAGCCTCACCCCTTCCCAGTTCGAATGCCCGGCTCTGGGGCCTCCTCTGAGCCTCCTGGCATGACAGCTCAGCTTGCAAAGCGGCCCCCAGGATCCGGTCCCTCGGCCCCTCTTGAGGGCAGCGAAGGAAGCAGGCCAGAGGCCCTCTGGGCCTGGCCCAGCTCTCTCGCCTCACTTGCCCGTTTGGCCCCCCCCCCGGCCAAGCCGCCCCCAGCCTGGCTCCTTCCAGCTCTGCTTATGGCGTCCCAGCAGCTGGGCCTCTTTCTTTGGCTCAGCAACTCGACAGCAGAGACGATGAAGGAGCAGCCAGAGATTTATTAAATGCGCCCTTTAATTTAGCAAGATTATGAGTGCTCAGACCAACCACAATCCCAAATGTGTTTCTTCTTTCCAAAGTTCCACTCTGGCCTGCTTTCCATGAGTGCCTTTATTTTTCTTTAAAAGCGTATCTTTATTTAAAACAATTCAGAAATGAATAAGATCATTTTTGAGGCACCCAAGTGAAAATTCACAGTAATTTCTGCATGACTTTCAGTGCCTGGTTAGAAACTCCATCTGTGGTTAACTCACAGAAGATGCTCAGAGCTTTCCCCATCGTCCCCTGCCGGGCTTCAGTGGCTCAGGGGCCCGCTGGGGTTGCAGAGACAGGTGTGCCTGCCATTTTATAAGGAAATGGGTGGGCATCTCTAGGCCTCTTTCGGTCTCCCTCGTCAAAAGTCTCTGGGTGGGGCAGGACTGTCTCCAGCCGTCTCCCAAAAGAGTTCGTTCTTGGCTGGGTCTCTTCTTCTGACACCAGAAAGAGGGCAGGTCTCCTGAGCGTATGTAGAGTTCTGGAGTGAACTTCAACGCTGTTTCGGGGCCTGGATCCCGGGAGGGATATCATCCTGCATGGCTGGTCCGGTCAGACGTGCGGTGGGCTCTGCAACCAACCCGCTCCCGATTCTCTCCCCTCCCCCACTCGCAGGAAGATCATGCCAGGCGGCTTCTACCATGGCTGACCCCGAAAGGAGCCCCTTCGATTGTGCAGGGGGGGAGATCGGCTACTGGAAGGAGCTCTCCGGCAAATACAAGCAGTGGTAAGCCTCCCCCTACGGCTTCTCGGCCGCTGAGCAGCGGCACTTTTGAGCCTTCGGCAGGCGTGGGGAGGCCAGGGTGCCAGCAGATGTGGGGGGCAACCTGCCCGGTTCCTTGGCCGGGGTCAGCCTCGTGATTGGCATGGCCGGCTCCTACCCCGCTTTGCCCTCAGTGTGGAGAGCGCCCAGGAGGAGCTGCGTGAGTTCCAAGAGGGCAGCCGTGAGTACGAAGCCGAGCTGGAGATGCAGCTGCAGCAGCTGGAGACTCGAAACCGGGACCTGCTCTCGGAGAACGCCCGACTGCAGATGGAGGTGGAGACGGTCAAGGTGAGGAGGGGGTCGGGGGCGCTCCGGGGTGCCAGACCCCTTGGCAATCGAGGAGGAGAGCTAGCCAGACGGGCCGGGTGGGGGGAGTCCCTGCATCACCTGTGAGAGGGGCTGGAGCCGATTTGGGTCGGTCCTGCAAAGGCCATCCTGGCCATGGGGGAGCATCTTTTTTGAGGTCCTGAGTTTCTACTGGATGAGGGGAGCAGCTGGAGGAGGAGAGGAACTCGGCCGTGGGTGGGCAGACCAGGGAAGGACGGCTGCAGGGCTGCCTGACAAGCGAACTGGGTGAGGCAGGGGGCCCACCTTGCAGGGGTGGTGTGTGCCTGAGATTTATTTTTCAGTCAGGGGCGTTTATACGTAGGTCACCCATGCATTTACACAGGGTGGGTGGGTAATGGGGATCCAGGTTGGGCCTTGCCAATGCTGGCCTTTCAGGGGCATCTAAACATGCAAACATGGGCATCTCGGCCTCAGCCGGGTGAGTTCTGCCCTCTCTTCACCCTCTTCTGCCCTCTCAGGATGTTGGCAGAATTTGGCCAGGGGGAAATTGGCCGTTTCTGGGGGGGGGAGGGTGGAAGAAGGGCGGCAGATAATGTGAGGCTCAGCAAACATGAAGGGAAGGGAAAAGGGACACCACCCCTGGTGACCCTCAAGTGCTCGGGGTCCTGTTTTTAATGTTGTGATCCCACAGTCTGTCACCTGATGAAGCAGCTCTCGGACAGGGAAAGCCATTTTGACAATTGGGTCATTCATCCATGCCCTCCCTGCCCCCCCCCCCCGGTAGCACTGCTGGAACAGAGGCCCATTGAAGCTACCAGGCGGCTGTGCTGGCATGGAGCACTGGGCGGGTGGCAAAGACCTGAGCCGAGGCCGGGGACTGCCTATCCGGGGCAGCGTTGGCGTTCAGAGCCCTATTTGGGGGGGGCAGCCACGCAAGGGTGCGGGGGGGCAAAGGCCATCTGGCGCAGTGCACACCCAGCATGGGCAGCAGGGCTGTGCGAGTGGCATTTGTTCTGCGTGATTGTTTGGGGCTAGGAGAGGATTGCCAGCCAACACGCCGACGGGGACCGGCAGATCTCAGCCCTGGAGGAGGAGCTGGGCCAGGCGAGGGGCGCCCGGGACCAGCTGCAGAAGTACATCCGGGAACTGGAGCAGTGCAACGACGACCTGGAGAGGGCCAAGAGGTACCCTGGGTGGAGGGGGCAAGGTTTAGAGCCCCGGAGCTTCCCCAAGGACCCTCCGGGGCCACGGGGCCCAGCTTCCTCAGGCAGGACTCCCCTAGCTCCATGCCTGGCTGACGCTGTGCCCGGGCTCTGTGCAGAGCCACCATCATGTCCCTGGAGGACTTTGAGCAGCGGCTGAACCAGGCCATCGAGCGCAACGCCTTCCTGGAGAGCGAGCTGGACGAGAAGGAGAGCCTCCTGGAGTCAGTGCAGCGGCTGAAGGACGAAGCCAGAGGTGGGCAGAGCTTCATTCCACACTGTGGGGCTTCCCCAACCTCTCTCTGCTTCATCTAAAGGAGCCCCCGGGGTTGGCACAGCATTAAAGAAGAAATGTCGGAGAGGGAAGAGGAGCAAGGCAGGCGCCACGCCCCCTGTGACTGCCAGTGGCGGAAGGGAGGGTTGGGACCCAGCCGACAGAGGGCGTTTTCCTCCTGAATCTGCTGCACGCTCTTCCCTGGCCACCTCTCTGCGCTTCGGAGCCCTTTGGGGTGCCTTGGCCCAGAGGGGCAGGGCAGGCAGGGCCGTCTCACCCTTGAGCTGCTTTCGACCCCTAGATTTGCGCCAAGAGCTGGCCGTGCAGCAGAAGCAGGAGAAGCCGAAGGTCTCAGTGGAGGGCTCCTCAGAAGCTGGACGGATGGACACAGGCATGCGAGCCACCTCCCCCAGGCCATCGACCCCTGCAATCCCCCAGGGGCCCAGCAATGGATTTAGTACCCCAGGAGCCTTCAGAAGAGGTGAACAGATCTCTCTCTCTCTCTCTCTCTCTCTCTCTCTCTCTCTCTCTCTCTCTCTCTCTCTCTCTCTCTCTCTCTCTCTCTCTCTCTCTCACACACACACACACACACACACACACACACAAAGACAAAAACATTTTCTTTTCACTTGCCCAGTAGAGTCTGTGAAGCAACAGCACCCCCTGGTGAGGAAGAGGAAGAAGTGGCTGCACATCAGGCCCCAGTATGCCCAGTGTCTTTCTCCTAGTGGGGAAGGTGGCTGGAGTCACTGATGGCCTAGAACTGAGTCAGGATAGAAAAGCCCCAAGTCCTATTACAAAATCAGTTCAGGAAGAAGATATTTGAAAAGGTCTAAAATCCACGCTGCATTCACTTTGCAAATAAAGCATCTTTTTTAACCAAGGTTTTGAGAATGGATCCAGTGGAACGCCACTTACGCCAGCCGCGCGGATATCAGCACTGAACATTGTGGGGGACCTCCTGCGGAAAGTCGGGGTGAGTCTTGGGGCATTTGAGAGGAACAAGTGGAAAAGCTGGGTTTGCCTTCCATCCCTAATCAAACAGTGGGATCCACGCCCGAGTTCCCCAGGGCTGACCCAGCCACGGTCTTTGCTTGTAGGCGCTGGAATCCAAGCTGGCCTCCTGCCGAAACTTCGTCTATGACCAGACCCCGTACCGAAGCCCAGCACCGCCCCCTCCCTACTTGGGCAGGGACGTGTATGAGAGGCGTCTGAGCGGCCCCCACGTGCCCCAGGGGTGAGTCCACAGGAAACCTTCCTCCCTGCAGGGGTGGGTGGGGGGAAACTGCAGAAATCACGTGTCGGTGTTGTTCTAAAGGCGGTGAGCCACAAGAAGTGGCCGGAGGCCTTCACCCCAGAGAGGGCTCCGTGGAGGCTCTTGCTCAGCTCGGTGTCCTCTGGATGTTGTGCTGGAATCGAATGGGCGTCATCCATGCCTCGCAAGCACAGTTTTCTCCGCCTGTTTATGAAAAAGTGGGCATTCCCGGTGCCAGCAGAGGGGCTGCCTTTGTTGGCTCGGAACATACCCAGATTGTGAGGCGAGCGGAGGGCCGTGGCGGAAGAAGCCCAGAGAAAAGGAGAGACTCCTCCAAAGCTGGGTTGGCACTTCATTCAACGTTTGTCCCCCAATGTTAGCAGAGCCCGTGCTTTGCCCCAGAGCTTTTACCCAGGTGGAGTAAATCTCTCCCACATTCTTTTTATTTAAAGACTTTGGCCCTTTGCTCAAATGTACCAATCCCAGCTGGTAAGTGCCCTGCTGGATCGGGCCCCAAGGTCAGTCTGGCTGGCATCTGCAAGCCTTGGGGGAAGCCCCAGAGTGGGCAAGGGAGAAGCCCAACAGCACGGTTTCTAGGAGAACAGGGAGGGAAGCTGCCCATGCCTATGGCCTTCTGCCACCTGTGCCCTCCAGAGTGGCCGGAAACTGGGAGTGGCTCTCCCCACCAAGTTGGAGGGGGCCAGGTTGGGTGATATGAAATTGGGGAAGGAGAGCGTGAATCCTGGAGCCCCAAGAGGGGAACTGGCCTTCCTGGGGTAGGAAAGTTGGTGACTCCTTGCCTGGGACCGGCTCTTCTGACCCAGGAGCGTGTGGCCCCCTCTAACTTCTTCCTCGTCTGCGGTGAGTCGGGGCCTTCCCTCGCTCGACTCCCCCACTGTCAGCACTCTCAGCCCCTCGCAGGTTCCGAGGCCAATGACCCCTTCTGACTCCACAGGCTGGCCAAGCGACTGGATTTAGGCACGCGGCCGTCCAACCTTGCAGGGCCGGCGGGCCTTCCAGCACAGAGGGCAGCCCAGATGCTTTTCTGAGGGACTCTGGGGCCAGCCCGCTTCTCTGGCAGCCGGTAATGGCTGCTCACCTGCAACGGGAGAGCAGCGAGGAAAGCTGGCTGTGTCCGGAGGAAGAGAGAGGCCGTCTTGGCTCCCAGCAGGCTGAAGGGCCACGTGAAGAGCCTCGCAGGAGAGCCGGAGGCCGGTTTTCTTTGTCCAGCTGGGAGGTTCTGCTTTCCTTTCCAGGGAGAGAAGAGGCCCCCCCGCCTCGGGCCCCTGGCCTGGCTGCCTTCCTGCCTCCAATGGGGCCCCCAAAGGCCCTTGAACGGGCAGGAGAAGTCCTGTTGTGAAGCCTCCGGGGACTCTCAGCGCCAGCATTTCTGGACACCACAAGCCTCTCTTTTGGTCTTCTAAGCTGCAGCTGCCCCGGCCAAGAAGGAGCCTCTCCCACAGCGCCTCTGAAGCCCTAAAAATTCCTCCCAGTGGACTTTCTTTGACACCCCCCCCCCGGGGGTCCCTTGCTGGAAAAAGCGGTTTGGGTCTTCGGAAGCTGAGCAACACCAGCTGTGTGTCATCAGACGGTGTGTCTGCTGCTGAGAGTACAGAGAGTTAACAGGGTCCGGCATATAAATTTGCTAAATAGGAAAAAGCACAAGCTGGTCTACTCAAGAAGTTTGGGACAAAAACTCCTCTCCTCCTCAGCCAACAAGGCCTTGGGGCAATGGGAGTTGTAGTCCAACCCATCTGGAGAATTAGAAGTCTGCTCTTAGAAGATTCTGTCCTGGTGCCTTATCCTGTCCATTTCCCTGTTTAAACGGGTGCCTTTTAATTAAGGCAGCTTATAAAAAGTTCATCAGAGGAGCATTAGTGTTGAGGCTCCTATTCCAACTTGGAAGTTTCTCTGGGGGGGGGGGGAGGGTTTCCTTTTACGCACCGGGAAAGGGATGTAGGGTTGCTGGATTATTAAACTAGTTTGTCATCCAAAACTGCTGTACTTCTGACCCCAGTTTGATTTTTCTTGGCTAGAACCAAAACGAGAGAGTTGGCAGCAAGGAAATACCTTGCAATCTTGACAGAAAAAGCAGGTTTCCTCTAACATAAGTTTCAAAAGGCAGTAAGTTTCTAGTCCTTTGCCTGAAGAGACACGTGCTTGTGAGTTGTCCCTGGGGTGCTTTGCGGCACACTTTGCACTCGGGTTATTCTGATTTTTTAACAACCTTTATTAATTTGTGTGTGTATGTTAAGCACAAAGGTCATCCCAAGTAGTAAGAGTCGTTTTCTCATTTGTTCCCTCCCCTCCCCCCCAAAAAAGCAGTGATTCAGAAAGGCACTTGGGTTTTGGCAAATTTTGGGGTGTCTTCTGGAAGTCTAGAACCGCTGGGAAGCAACGGGGAAGCACAAGAATTTGGGGGAGGGGCAAGGCAAGTGGGCTTTCTCTCCCAGGGGTACGGAGCGCTTCTGGGGAGGGCGGCCCTGGTCTGGTCACCCAGGCGGGCATCTCCCTCGCTGAAAGGCAGTTGTGCGACTAAGGCCACCGTGGCTAAGGGTGTCTACGGGGGAGTAAAGGCAGCTGTGGTCAGGGCAGACGTGGCTTTGGGACAGGTGAAGCGGCCTACAGGGCTACTAATGCCCCCCCTTTCCTGGTGCAGCAGTCAAACAAGCAGGCGTGGCGAGGGGGGGGCTAGTTAGTCGCTGGACTTGGTTCCATTGAAATTTGCATCCCGGGGGTCTCCCTCTTCCTCGGAGCCTTCGGTGGCATTTTCGACTGACCGCCTGCCCCCGCTGCCACCACCGCCTGACCGGCGCGAGGGGGCGAAGGACACCGGCTCGTTCCCGCGCCTGCAGTGGGGGAAAAGGATTGGTGAGAAAGAGTGGATAATCCTTTGGCGAAAGGAGGGCGCTCAGGTGCCACTTCTCAGGAATCGGTGGAGGCTTAAGGGCAGAAGGTGCCAACCTGCGCCATCTTTACACAGAGGAGAGAGATCCTTTCTGAATGTCTGAGTAGGCCTCGAAGGTGCCAGTCTGCCCAAGAGCTGCTGGCAGACGGTCTTTTCTCCCGAAATTCCTTCCTGCCCTCTGTGCCATCCCCAGAGTTCTGTGAGCTAATAGGGCATTGCCCGACTTCCTTTCAACCAGCTGAAACTTCCTGCTGGCTGCTTTCTAGCCCTCTCCCTTCATCCCCTCCCCCCAAATTCAATTAGCCTTTTCCCTAAACTGAAAAAAGGGGCCAAATGTTCTCCCTGCATCAGAGATCCACGTCCGTCAGGAACTGAGTCAGTGGCAGCCTTTTCCCGGCACCTGGTGCGCCTTTTCTGTGGTGCATGGAACAGAACAGTGTGAAGGAGGGTGGCAGAGGGGCAGCTCTGACCACTCAGCTCCTGTGCAGGGACAGAAAAGGCCAGTGGAAAAGGGGTGAAATGCAGCAGCAGGAGTTTGGCTTTGTGAGTGCGTGCATGCACACACCCACAGCCACAGCCACACCTTCAGTGGCAGCAGCAAAGCCCAGTGCTGCAAGGAGAATCCACACCTCTTACGGAAGGAAAGTGGCTCAGCCGATCCAGAGAGGTTTTTACGAGTTGGGGGTGATGCATGAATTCCCATCCCAAGATGGGTCTTTGGAGCACAGCTGCCCACTGTGCGGCCGCAAGGGAGCCAGCCGAGGCATCTGATTTTGCACCACAAAGAAGGTAGCAAGGGGACGCGGCCTGCTCCTGGTGGCGGCTTGCCTGGCTGTGTGATGGGGCAGCTGCCCCACATATCGGGGTGCTCTTGCTTCAGAAGCAACTGGGGCAAATGCTTTGGGCCTCAGCACTGCTCAGTTGCTCATGAAAGCAGCTGGGTTTCCCCCCAAAGTGGCTACATGCACCAGAAGGAAGAAACTGTGGCTGCTTAAAGCAGCGGTCTCCAAACTTGGCAACTTTAAGACTCGGGGTCTGGGGAATTCTGGAAGTTGAAGTCCGCGAGTCTTAAAGTTGCTGAGTCTGGAGACCCCTGGCTTAAAGGGTCGTGCTCATGAGCCGGCTCCTTGTATGCGCTGCAGAGCTCTGTGAAATGGTGCTTGTGCAAGTCATGGACAATGATTTGATTTTAAAAGGGGGGGGAGGAGGGGTGTGTTGCCGAAGCTCAGTTGTGGGGGGAGTGACTAGAACAGAGGTGCCAGGAGCCTGGGTCAGGAGCAAGGGGCATGCAGGGCAAACTCTGTCGTATTTGTCTCTGGGAAGAAGCCGCTACCCACGAGATAGCCAAGCCTTCAGAGTTTGCAGGAGGCTCGCTTGGATTTCTGAGGGACCCAAAGGCAGGTTGGCGTTTGGCAATCACAAGCAGGCTGCAAAGGTGAAGGCCTGGTACCTGCCGAGTCACTGCGGAGCTTCTGGGTTCCCTCTGAAAGAGAGAAGCGTCCACCACATCAGCCCCGGCCTGCAGCACCTGGCAGGCCGAGGAGGGCCTGGTTGGGGGGACCGGGGCCCCGGAGAAGGCGCCGTCATCCTATTCTTGGGCCCTGCGCAGTCCTGCCCAATCACCTCGGCTGCCTGCACCCTCCGAGTGAGGAGGCAAAGGGTGCCGGCCCAGCCCTTGGCTCGGACCACGGGTGGAAATGGGCGAAGGCCACTGGGAAGGAGTGGGCAGTGCCTGCGGGACGCCAGCCAGGCGGGAGGCGCAGGGCCTCACCTGAGCTTGCTCTTCAGGGCCACCATCTCCCGCCCCAGGCTCTCGTTGCTCTCCGTGGCCTCGTCCAGCTCCCGCTGCAGCTTCCTGCGGCTGGCATTGATGCGCTGGGCCTCCTCCTCCGCCTCCTCCAGCTGCCGCTTCAGCTGCTTCACCCGGGCACTGGCCTTGTCTGCCTGGGGGAGAGGCCGGTAGGGGCTTCAGAGCCAGCCCCAGAGGGCCTAAAGCGGCCCCGGTGTTTCCAGCAGGGGACGATGGGAGTGAAGGTTCTGCCACAGCATTCCCCACTCCCTCGCCTGCCCACCTGCCCATGAATGCCTACCACCGGGCACCCACCTGGTCCTTGTACTGCTCGGCCTGCTTCCTCTCATCCTCCGCTTGCAGCAGAGTCTCTTTCAGCTTCTTGTCCTTCTGGCGCAGGGCCTTGGCTGCCGTCTGCTTTTCTCTATAGGAAGGCAGAAAGGCGCTCAAAGGGGCTAGTCCACATGAAGCTTTCCAGGGCTTGAAAGCAATAGCCCAGCCCAGTACGAAGGCAGGACAGTCTGCTGGCATGTTTCTTTCGGGGAAGGAGACTCTGCCTTGTGAGTTGCATCCAGGGCGAGGGAAAGAAAATTGACTTGTTTTTAAAAATATTTCTGAGTTTTGGTCTTATTTTTTAAAAATAGACTGCTTGTATTTCCACAAAAAGGTGTTTTATTTACCTAGAACTGAATATAATGTTTAAAAGATGTTGAGGAAAGTTAAAAGCTTTAAAAAAAGGCATTTTTCAGGTCTGCCTGAATGGTTTGGTGGTGGCATCTCAAGATTCCCCTGGGAGGGTTCCCAAGATCAGGCCTGGGGCTTGGTGCCAAACAGCTGGATGCACACCTGGACTCCCAGACTGCAGACACCCCACACGACGCAGTCCTGCTCTGGGCAACCCTCCCCCCCCCATGCTTCCCCCTTGGGTACCTGGACTCCTGCTCCAGTTGCTCGTCCAGCTGGCTGATTTTGGCCTCCAGGGCCGAGATGGTGGCCTTGAACTTGGACTTGACGGCCCCCTCCATCTCCTGCAGCTTGGACCTCAGCTCCTTGTTCTGCCGCTCCAGCTGCTGGCGGGCGCTCTCGTTCTTCTGTGCCGTGGCACGCTCCGTGGCCAGCTCGTTGCTCAGCTGCTCCGACTGAAGAAGGGAAGGGGAGATTTGCAGAGCGGCTGGACGGAGCAAGTCACGCCCTGGCCGTGCCTCTCCAGCCCCTCCCAGGGCGGGGGCTTACCTGCTGCACCGCCTTGCGGAAGCGGTCGCTCATGGCCTCCATGTTGCCCTGCTCCTCCTCCAGCTCCTCCTCCATCTGGGAGATTCGGGCCTCCAAGCGGCGCTTCTCGTCCTGCAGGC